CCGAACTTCACTCCTCTCTTAATATTTGTACCAGAACTGTTGCTGTCTCCCCAACTGATAGTCCTATCTACCACAAGAACTGGACAGACTGAAAATGACTTACTTGCCTGCCTTGTTGATTATGATGCAGTTATATTACAGTGCTACACTATTCATCTTAGAGGACAGCTTAAGTCTTACACCAATATTGCCAAGATTAGCTTCCATTAACATGACCCCCATGAAGTTAATATTGGTGGAGTGTCCTGCCCTGTCCGACCATATCGACCCTTTTCCTCATTAGCATAAAAAATGTTGGCGTTTTGGGCACTTAACCAAACACTCACCCCACAGCCCCCCTCCTGTATGTGCCCAACCTGGCCATGGCCGTTCAAATTGCCCTGCTCAGTCACACGTACGTGTGTCAATTGTGGTGGCTCCCATAATATTTTACGAGCTGCCCCTGCCTATAAGCTCGAGTGTGAGGTGGTAGCAGTTCACATATTCAAAGTAAGCATCATTCTATGCGAGGCCAGACAGGAAGCACAGTGGCGAGGTTTTCCTCTACCTATTCAAACGCAGTCCTTTGCTCCACTCCAATCTCTAGCACTTCCCCAATGCCTACCCCTCCTTACCACTTTACCTGCTGCACCAAGCACCCTATCTCCTACCACTTCCTCTGCTCTTCATATGAACATTTTCGTTTCTCACACCTCCAGAAACTCCTGAAGACATCTAAAACTTTCTAAAAATGACCCAAGAGAATGCTCCACTCTTATCCACCATCCAATCTCTATTTTTATTCCCTCTACATTCGAAGTAATTGACGGAATAGTCCCTATCCTCAAGTTCCCTCTACCCTTCTTCCTCCCATTCTCTCTCAACACACCCCTTCCCCCCTTCTCCATGTGCACCATTCCCCCTTTTTCCCCATTATCCTTGCTGCTCCCAGATCTGTTCCCTTATCTCATTCTCCAGATTCTTTTCCAACACCCATTTCTACCCGTATTACACACTGATTAAGTCAAAATGATTCATTTACAGGTTTTCTTATACAGTGTTCCTCTTACTTCCTGAGATATTTAGATACTCTCCATTTGATCGAATTGCCCTACACCCTTAGCCTCTTCTCTTTACCCTTTTCACTACCGTACTATCCTATAACGCTCTATGACCTTTGACATCTAACACATTTTATCCTAATCGTTAACTCATTTTCACCCTCTTTGCTACAATACTTTACCATAATCCTATATGAGCTTTGATGTCTAGCACATTTATTAGTTTTAGCTATTAACCATTTTCCTCTCCTCTTTTCCCTTTCCTTCTTTTCTCCAACCCCTTCTTCTGTCCACTCCCTAAGATTTGACAGCCACACTGAAAGGATAAAAGACTGGCTTTGGGTCAGTCCTGAACGGCCTCATGGAACCATAGTATTCCTGTTTAGTTATCTAGCCCTTACCCCTCATAGGGACCTTGAGGGGTGAACCATTTCTCTTCCCCATATACTCCAGACTTACCATGGCCAGTAATAATTCTGCACATTTGTTAGGGGCATTGAGGCTTGCCCCTCTATCAGCTAGCCCCAACAACAATAACTTTTCCAGTTCTCTAACCCCTGACTCTCCTTTGATCACAACTGAACAGGACTACTACTTCTATACCTACTGTCAACTCAATCCACTCCAAACCACCAACTCAGGTCATTACCTTTCTGTCAGAAAATATTCCTTCGTCTCTCCTAAGACATCATCCACTCCATCTCATGTCCAGTCTTCCTCATTTTCATCTCATTCCTCCCTTAACTACTACTCTGCATACTTATTGCCCACTTACCTGTAGTACTGCCTCCTTCCTTCCGTCACTTTAACTACTCCCATCACTACAAATCTGAGAACTCTTTGGAAATCCCAGCTAAATGGGATTGATGTCTTGTGATTCCCCTACAGCCCCTTACTATGATAATGTCCTCCCTTTCCAACAATATATCAAAAAACAAGTAGGCAAGGTTTACTTTTGCAGCCGTTCACGTCTTGTCACAGTTAAATTTAGAGTCCCAAGCTTGTTCATTATCTATCCCTACTGACCTCACTAGCAAACCTATTCCTGTTGATCTTCACTTCTCCCATAAGTTGATATTGCTGGAACATCCTGTCCTATCAATTATATCGGTCCCTCCCCGTAATTGTCAAAAATGGAGTTTTGGCCACCCTGCTAAGCAGTCACTCCAAAGCCCACTGTCCTCTGGCCTTTATCGTTCACACAATCATGCACATGTGCCAATTGTGGTGGTTTTTATAATATAGTTTATAGGGTCGAGTCAGAGGTAGTAGTCCTCAGATTCAAACTTGGCCTCACTGTCCTTGAGACCAGCTAGGAAGAACGCCGACGATTTTTTTCTCTCTCTCTTGCTCCTTACTTTGGTGCTGTCCTTCGCTCTGCTCCCCCCCTACTCCCCAAGAAATTTCTACATCTCTCCCAGTATCTCTTCCTCCTACTCCTTGCATTCCTACTTCTACCCCTCCCTCTCCCACTCATATTCTTTTGCCATTCTAAATCCACACTACAATCTCTCCTTCCCCAGCGCCTCCTCCTCTTTCTTCTCGTTCTACTCTTCACATCAGACAATTTAAACTCCATCCCATCTTCTACTGCATTCTCTCCTACATCTACCTCTTCCTCTGCTCCTTAAACATCTGTCCCCTCTTCTCCCCCTCATAAGAAAACCTTCATTTCTCTGACCTCCCCAAAGAATTCCATTTCAGAGTCTTGATAATATTCAAAACTATGTAATTATGACCCAAAATAACATACCAATACATCCTTCTCCAATCTATCTGATCCCATTCCCCCTACACTTAGTGATTATTAACCTCCATCTTCCTCCTCCTTATATTCCCCTTACACCATTCCCTCCTAATCTCTCTATTTTGACACAAAAGTAACCCTTCCTGGATCCTTCCATTCTCCCTTTTTCTCTTCTTCGTGTTTACTTACTCCTTTCTCTATTTGCATTCCTTTCCTATCCCCCCTTTTCTCATCTCCGACTCCCTTTTTTGTCTCTTTATTTCCTCCTTGGCTTATACCCTGTATTTGATCCTCTGTTTTCCTTACCCACCTAAATATATCCCCCTACTGTCCTTCTCACTCATTTCTTTCGATACCCATGATTGCAGTCTCTAAATCCTTCACTGTAGACTTCCTTTCTCATATTTTGAACTATCCCCTCCCTTCTGAGTCCAGTATTCTTGTGACGAAACTGTATATACGCTTTTTTGCCTTTAAATTCATGTCCTCACTCCCTCCTCTTTGACTATTTTCACTTACTCCCATAACTCCTTATCTCTTATACAGTCTGTGCACTTGACCAACCTCTATTTCTATAAGATTCAGAGCTGGTTACATGTATACACCCCAAAAATCAGGATTTGCTGGGTGCTCAGCCATGTTGGGATCCCTGGCAATGAATAGGTTAAAGCTCTAGTACGAGGTCTATGAAAGTACTTACATCAAGCTTACTCTAGCACATCCATGTCACACCAACCCCATTTCTCACATATTCCAGCCATTGATTATTACAACCATTTTAGGACTTTCCTATTTGCCCGCTGGCAGTCTTTCCGGTCAGGTCTTCTCACCTATTTCCATGCACAGGTCCTTTTTCAGTCCCATACTGTCCTGACTGACCCCATTTTCCAAAAGCCTATGCTTCTCCACACTTATCTTCCCATTCCCGACCTACCCACCTGTTGTGGAATCCTTGTGGAATCCCACACTTTTCCCTTTGACAACTTGTTTTCCTTTCTCAGATGTATGCATATCCTATATATGATGTAATTGCTCTTATTAACTTCCTTTTCCCTCTTTAGCTTATCCCTACCTTAACCCATATACTACCCTCTTTACTCTTCAATACCACACTATCCTAAACTGCTGATAGCTTTGACATGTAGCCATTTAATCATTAACTCCTTTAATTTGTGTTTTAACCATTAACCATTTATATACATATTACCATTTCTAAAAAGAACTGTATTCATGGTTAACCTCTAGTATTGCAGAATTAGTATGTAATAAATGTCAATAAGAACTGTAAGGTAACTGAATAAATCAGAGGCTTATATGATCAACATATATATTGGTGTATATTGTAATATATCCAAATGTTTTAATGGGTTATAAATTATTATATTTCATTTTGATGAAAAACATCTGACAATTGTAAAAGGATTAATAATAAGCTAGATACCATCCTTTGCAGCACAAAACAATACTCCAAACAGGCAGCAATATATATCACTTTCATATTGTATTGCCTTCTTTACTGTAAAAAAAGGAAAAAAAAAAAAAAAAAAAAAAAAAAGCACAATAATGATGTGGTTACTTTGTGCCAATATGATGCAGTGTTGCATATTCTCCTTGAAATTTACCAACATATTTTTTTTTGCTATGGCTATTGATAGTATGGACTTACAAATCTACAAACAATCAAATTTTGAAAAACTAGCAAAAAAATAGTAAATCTGAATCCTTAACTAAAAGGACTTTTCAAAGAAAGAAGTAATTTGTATAAAATTTACTTATCAGAACTTAAAAAAATACATTCATAATGATAGATAATTACAATATAAAATGACAAGAATAGATTCTTGTCAGGGAAGTCACTCAAGAGAAATTAATTAAAATCCTGATATCAAAGACTTAATATTTGATTTAAGGTCTTTTTAAAGTGAAGAAAAATACCTATTTACAAACTTTTGGGTGATATGAAATGTACCAACTGTTAGTATTAAAATAATGTTTCCATTTCAATAGCATAAAACATTTCATTATTACACAGAAAACAAAAGCAAAGGATTAATCATATTTCACAATATTAGCCAAATTTCTATTGTCACTTTCAAACTTATTTCAGAAATTATACATTTAAATGCCAAATCGCGCTGAAGTCTGCACACGCCTGGGTGTGCCAACATCATACACTTGTTGGCGACGAGATGATTCTTCTCTTCGCTGCTTCTCTTCTGCTCTTGCCTTCAGTGTGTCCTGGGCTCTGTCCATCTCTGCTTCCATGGCAGCTTTGTGCGCAAGAGCCTGGCGGCGTTTTTCCATCCGAGATGCTCCACCCTCATTAATACTATAAAATTTACCTCCCACTTCAGCTAACCACCCTCCTTCCACTGCTGTGACACACTGCATGTACTCTTTACTTGTCATTACCAATTCGTGGTACACAATGTAATCAGGCGTGTATCCCATACCAAACAGGGCTGAAGTAGGGTGGAGGTGGCAAGGTGTTCCTGTACGAAGGTTAACATATTCACCAATCCCTTTCAGGCGACAAGCTTGATGGAAGTATGCAGCACATATGCACTTGCGTACTAAGTCTTCATCCATACCACAACTAATTACCTTTAGCTTTTGTTGTTCCATGATGTCATGTAACTGTTGTCTTACTTCTCTTACTTTTTTCAGAGCTTTAAAATGTAAGAAATGCTTATTACACCAATTCATGGAATATTTCTGCAGACGCCACTGTCTATATATATTCAAATAAGTCAGATGGTCAGACTCTGGTACCTGAAATTTTTCACGCATTGCATCAGCTTCCTCCTCCCTACCTTTGGGACGGTAGAAGAGTGCTGGAACAGACAACATGGAAACAATTGTTAAAATTTCTTCTGAGCAATGCATTTCTACACCTGCCAACAACATTTTTGAAAGTGCTGGATCAAGTGGAAACTCTACCATTGCTCTTCCTAACTTTGTTAGCATACCAGTGTTATCCAAGGCACCTAGAGTCCACAACTGATACTGAGAGTTTAGCAAGTTATCCTGAGGAGGAGGATCCATGAAATGAAATTTAAGCAGGTCTTCTACACCAAGAGATTTCAGTAAAAGCACCACATTTGCCAGATTTGTACGCTGTATCTCTGGAACTGTAGTTGCCAACAGTTCATCCTTATACTGTCTTTCTGTGTACAAGCGATAGCACATACCAGGACCAGTACGCCCTGCTCTGCCCATTCTCTGGTTGGCATTGGCCTGTGACACTGGATAAACCTGAAGGCCATCCATACCTACCCTTGGATTGAAAACCTTCAGCTTGCAGTAACCTGAATCAACAACATACTTAATACCATCTACAGTAAGAGATGTTTCAGCGATGTTTGTAGCCACAACACATTTGCGAAGACCATCAGGTGCACGTTGGAAAATCTTTGCTTGGAGATCTGAAGGAAGCTGAGAATAGATGGGAAGAACGGCTAACTGGGGGGCATTATCAATTTCATCTAATTTTTCCACAATAAGTTCACAGGTGACCTCAATATCTTCCTGTCCTGGCATGAATACCAGAATATCTCCTTCCTCAGCTTGAAGATGAATTTGAAGAGCTTGCTTCACTGCTGCTTCTACATAATCCTCAACTACATTACGTGAAAAAAATACCTCAACAGGAAATGTTCTGCCAGGAATGGTAAACACTGGTACTTCACCAAAGAACGTAGCAAATTTTTGTGAATCCATTGTAGCAGATGTAACAATCAACTTCAAATCATGTCTTCGAGCCACAACTTCACGCAACAAACCAAACAATACATCTGTACTTAGGGAACGTTCATGAGCCTCATCCATAATAATTGCACTATAATTATCTAAATCACTCTCACGCAATGACTCTCTGAGCAATATTCCATCAGTCATGTATTTTTATTGTTCACTTGTACAATCTTCAAAACGAATGGCATAACCAACTTCTTCTCCAAGGTGTGTACCCATTTCATCAGACACTCGCTTGGCCACTGACATTGCAGCCACTCGCCTTGGCTGTGTACATCCAATCATGCCAAGTGTACTGTAACCATCCTCATGAAGGTATTGAGTCAACTGAGTCGTCTTCCCACTTCCTGTTTCACCAACAATGATTACAACTGAATTCTCTCTAATAATTCGCAGTAGTTCTTCCCTTACTGCAAAAACTGGGAGAAATTGTCGCTGCTCCTTGATGGACTTCTTTTTAGCAAAGTCACTAGATGCTTCATTTGCATCCTTCTGCAAATTTTGATCAGCTTTGTAATCTGTTTCTCCCTCTTCAATCTTCCTGTCATCTCTCTCATCCTCTTTTTTGACACCAATAAGATTTCCTAACTGTGTACCAGCAAGTTCCCATTCCTTTTTGGCAGCTTTCCTACGTTCGCGTTTTCCCTCCTGCTCTTGAGCAGCAGCAGAACCTTTCCTAGACACCTGTGCCATATCTGATGTAGAATCTTTGACTGGAATCACAGGCTCTGGTTGCTTTGTGAAAACTATACGGCCATCCAAGAATGGGGGCACAATGTTGTGCACCAAAATATGGACCCTGTTGGTAAATTCTTCTTCAAAATCCTCATCATAATCAATCTTCTGTACAACACCACTGGTCAACATCCTATTTGTCTCCCACAATTCATTATCCTTATGAATTTGCCTCTGCTTTGCACTCATCTTTTTCTTGTTCTTTTCCAGTTTCTCATTTTTCTTCCTCTCATATTCCTGGGACACATCAGCAAATGGGTTATTTGTGTCATCATAACCTTGATCCATGTCATACCACTGTCTATCTAATCGTTTCTCTTCTTCTTCCCCATCTCTCTCTCTCTTCATCATCAAATTCTCTATTCACTTCCCATCTCTTTCACTCATCCAAGAATTGTACTTGTTGATGGTGTTGGAAGTGGAGTCTTATCACTGTCATGGAAGTCCCTCCTGCTAGGAGAATTTCTCTCTCGCACTGAATGGTTTTCCACTGCGAAATGGACCAAGTCATTGTCTCTGTGTCTATAGTATGTTATAAATTTTTTAGTGCGCATGATTAAATATTATTATAATCATTATTATTTATTACTATGTTGCTCACTCTTAAGAAGTGATATTAAGCCGAAAGATATGTCTTTGAAAGAAATTCATCACTATTATAATCATAATGCTATACATTATTTCAATTCTATATTACCTCCATTACATTCATTGTTATCGTTAATGTTTCTTTAGTTTAGTAATATATGTAGACATAGTATTTAATTGAGTTAGAAAGGACGTAATCTTTATCAACTCCACTCTGTGGAGATAACATTGTACTTCCTGCGATCTATTTCTATTGCTAGGCATATCCTTCTACTAGTGTTATATATTATCATTTTACAAATAGTATCATATTGTCGGTTTCATCATCACCAATAGATGATAGCATATTAGGTTGAGTTTGAGTTATTATTATTGTTTATTACTCTGATTTAGTGATTATTACTCTTTCACGTGCGATCCAGTCACTCCTATTATCCCTTATTATCTGGCATACAATCTCCTATCTTTACATCATTTAATCAAATAATCTTCATACTAGCTCTGTATTTCTGAACGTCCTAATTGAATCAAATTCCTTGCGTATTATTGTCTCTTCACCTCTTCCATGAACCTTATCTGTCCTCGGTATTATCAACCTATTCTACGTTACTTCTATATCATTTATTATCATTAGTAACATATTTCTAGTTTCACTACTCTTTGTTATCTTTTCAATTCACCATATCTCTGTCTCATATCCTTATTTATCCACCCTCATTTATTTACAGTCTACATCTTAATCTTCTAAGCTATTTCATCACCATTTTCATCATTATTTTGATCACTCATTTATCTCGATATTTACTCATACTCTTTACTGCAACAGTGTTAGATATACTCTGTTTTGTGTAAGCTTCCATCATTTTATTCCTAGCAATCTCCTGATCATATTCTCATTTCTTTTATCTACTGTCTCTTACATTTGTTCCATTATTTACTTCTATCTATATAATTACGCATTACCGTATACTCTTCTTCTCGATCTACCTGTCTCTGTACTTTTCATCATCATATCAATTCAAATATACCTATTTCTTGATACCATGACATTACTTTCATTTAACACATTTCTTAATCTATTTTATTCTCTATCTACTATTTTCATTCATTATTCATCTTGGTCAAAGATGGTAATATTGCGATACCGCATTTTTATCTCATGATATGTGATTATGAACCTCTCCCATCGGAATTTGATCCCCTTCTCTCGCGCCGTTGGAATCACTGCAAGACTGCCGCCCCAGCCCTTAGACCGTGCAACCCCAAACACCTTAGACTTTGATGCGTTTTTTGTGCGGCATACTAGGAGGTTTTCTGTGCTAGACTAGCATCCATAGAGATTATCCCACCTACTCATACAGAGAAGGGATAGCAAAGTTTGCACCACTCTAAATCCCCCTTCACTGGCACTCACGCGGTATTTATGCACACAGAGCAGGCAACCACCCCTAAACCCATAGTGAACCTAGGTGCATTCTATGCACTGAAAGATAGAATAATGCATTCCGTGTTTTTTATCATGAATATTATAAACCTCTCCGAACGGGATTTCGATCCCTCTCCGCAGTGCATCCATTGAATGCAAGACGGCCGCCACCTGTAACCATCCTTGCTCCTGCATACCGACCTATCTCGCCCAACTTTTCAAGCGCTTTTTAGGCGTGACTCCATTCACACTAGATAAGGCTACCCTAATATCTATATACGAATGCGCAAATTTGACTCTTCGTAATCCTTCTTTCACTTATCAATCATGACTCGTGAGATACACCTTGCGCTGGTTATTCCGCTCCTTTACAGATCTGTGCATCTTCAGCCCTTTTCTGCACTCAGTCGCTCGAGCGACGGGTCACTCTGCTCCTTGGCAGTCATTCAGTATTCACTGCACTTGCCCTGCGGGAATTGAATCCGAAAATCCCTTTTTAAATAAACCGGATTTCGTGGATTATTTTTTATAATATTTCAATTCATTATTTTATTATGGTATTACCCTTTATATTTTACATTGCTTTTACTCCTTATAACTCATCAGAGGATCTGGCCTAGTTATATTTATTTGTTAATCTCATCATATTATTGGCGGAGTCTCAAAAGGAGTAAGTCGACTGTAAGCTAAGTATTCTTTTAATTATGACAGGAATGCATAATTTAATATATTAGTACTTTTATTAGTATTAACACGTCCGGGCTATACAAGTATTTATATATCTTTGTTACCTATTACTACTTTTACCTATTCTATTGTTCATTACTTACCTTTACTAACTCAGCCTATCCAAACTCACCCGAGCGACCATCCAATGACTGCATCACTCTAAAACCATAGACACACTATAAATTTTTAAGATACCTATCAGATACTAACTTATATATCATTATCTCAGTCAGCACAAATTAATAATTAAAATACAATACTGTCAGCAAAAACATAAAAACGCGCTCATCTCTAGTCTGATTTCAATTACAGCTCAAAATATGGGCTTACAAGCATCATTATCGATAATAATGTTGCAGATTTACGTCGACTATTCGTAAAACATAACTCAAATATTGAATATATGACATTCAGTTAGGCTCTACTTTGATAATATACACTATCTGTGATTTATGTACACACAACACCAATAACATAACAATCCATACAGTCAAACATGAAACAACTTTAGTACATCCCTAATTATTCTCTAGCAATTAATATCCTCAGGTCTGTGTACGTACTCTAGATCTATCTAGACGAGAATGCAAGATCGATCGAGAGATGTGCATGGTCGAGCGTAATGCAGAGAGATGCATAGACGAGGTCTATCAATCTATCTATCTATCTGGTCTAAGCAGAATCCAGACTATGACGAAGCTAATCGATATGCGATATCCGAAATCGAGAAGATGCGTGAGAATGTATCATCTAGTCTATCTATCTATCTATCTATCTAAACTCATACATACATAGAGGACCTATAAAGAGAGAATAGAAGAGAAGAGAAGAGAGAGAAGAGTAAGAGAAGATATGAGAAAAGAAGAGTTATATATATAAGATGATAGAGGATGAGAGAGAGAGATAGAGATGAGAGAGAGAATCATAAAGAGTAAGAGAGAGAGAGAGATAGAGAGAAGAGAGAGATATATATATATAGTTTGTATGGGCATATGGGGAGAGAGTAGATAGAGAGATAATATTATAATTATAGAATATATATATAGATGATAGATAGAAAGATATATAACAAGAGAGGAATACAGTAATACAGTAATTACAAGAGATAGAGATAGTAACGAGAGAGAGTGAGTAGCAAGTAATAGGATGAGAGCAATGAACATATGGGTAGGAGAAATGATATAGTACGATGAAGAAGTAAATAGAGATACATTATATATGAATATAGTGATATGATGAAGATGAGAGATTATATATATATTGGTATGTAGCAGTAATATATAGTATAATAGAGTATAAGTAGAAGAAAGAAGAGAGAATATAAAGAGGAGAGAAGAAAGAGGAGAGAGGGAGGGTAAGAGAAAATGAAGAGAAGTGCAAGAAAGCAGAAAAAAGTGAGAGAGAAAGAAGAGAGAGAGAGTAGAAGAGTAATATATAGTAATATACGATCATAAATAGATATAATAGTAGTAAGATAGTATATATATATTAGATGAGATATAGCAACTATAGTATAATAATATATGGTATATGTAATATATAATATACATACACTAGACGTATATATATATATATATATAGATATATATAGATATATATATATATAATATTATAGTATATATGGACAGGAATATATAGAATATAGCAATACTAGGAAAAGAGAGATAGAGAGAGATATATATGATAAGTTAGTATAAGGATAATATATAGAGATATATATAGTAATATATGGAAGTAAGGTATATATAAATGGGCATACACCACACACCACGACAACACACGACATACAAAACACACACAACAACACGAGCAAGGAAAACACACACACAGACACACATGATAATGGTGAGAATAGAGAGAGAAAGAGCAGAGAGTAAAGTCAGAGAGATGATGAAAAGGGAGAAGGAAGATTTATAGAGAAGAGAGTATATTAATAGTGAGAGAAGAGAGATGAGCAGAGAGAATGAGAGATTTTAAGAGAGATGAGAGAACGGTGTGTGTGTGTGATTTTATATATGTGTGTGTGTTGTGTTGTGTTGTTGAGACTATGTATGTATGTAGTGTGAAATGTGTGTGAGTTATATATATATGATACTATAATGGACTATTCTGTGTGTGTGTGTGTTAGATGAGTGTATAAATATATATATAATAATATATATAATATATATATATATATAATTGTGTATATATAAAAAATATACTAATAAATATATATGGATATAGTATATTAATATATATAGTATATATTAGTGTAGTGTGTGTTGAGTACATACGTATGATGTTTGATAAAGTATGATGACCTACAATAAGGAGAAGATGATAAATCTAGACCATTAACTGGGTGGTCGGTACGAGTGGATTGGTAGCTGCCTACTGTATCTATATAACCTTATATACTATTAACTACATGCTTATAACTCTATATCAACTCCTCACGAAGGGCATACTCATACTTAATTATCAACTCAATCATCAAGTACACAGGCAACATACCATCAATTTAACGTACGTGCGTACTGCTAACTACTTTTATTTCTATCTTTTTTTCAAATTAACTACTGCTTCTACTTCTACTATTACTATCACTGCTGGGACTCTTATCTACTATTAATCTATCACAGTCTTAATATCTATCCTAAC